TGGGCATATACGAACATGTTGAGAGAAACAGTGAGTTGTACAGCGAGGAGAGAACTGAGCCAAACGGAGTCCCATGAAACTCTCAGCATGTCAGGGCCACTTGGGAGGTGGGGTTAACCAAGATACTGACAGACTCACAGAGTGCAAAGAGGAGCGCAGAAGCAACACGTAGTTATGGAGGACAAAGGAGACAGGAGGAAAGCAACGAGAAGAAGTACAGTAGTCAACTGTGTTGACCACTGCTGGGAATCAGTAAAGGGGGGGCCAGAGTACGTTCATCTGGTATAGCCCCATGGAGGTCACCAGTGACTTCAGGATGGATACAGGATGGGTAAAATTAGCCTAAGTTTGTTGAGGTTCCTCAGTTTTCAAAGAGATGTATTTATTTTATTGGAAAGTCAGAGTTACACGAGAGAGAAGGAGAGGTAGAAAGAGAGAGCGAGAAAGAGAAAGAGAGAGAGGTCAAGAAGAGAGAGAGAGAGAGAGAGAGAGGTCTCCCATCTACTGGTTCACACCCAATTGGCCACAATGGTCAGAACTGTGCCGATCCGAAGCCAGGAGCCAGGAGCTGCTTCTGGGTCTGCAACGCGGGTGCAGGGATCAAGGACTTGGTCCATTCTCTACTGCTTTCCCAGGCCACAGCACAGAGCTGGATCGGAAGTGGAGCCGCTGGGACTTGAACCAGTGCCCACGTGGGATGCCCGCACCACAGGCCGTGGCTTTACTTGGTATGCCACAGCACCTACTCCAAGGTTCCTCATTTTTTAAAATGATTTATTTATCCTATTTGAAATCCGTTTTGAAATCTATTTGAAAGTCTATTAGAAATCTATTTGAGTTACACACAGAGAGAGGAGACACAGAGAAAGAGAGAGGTCTTGCATCTACTGCTTCACTCCCCATCTGGCCACACTGGTCGAAACTCCTCTGATCCGAAGCCAGGAACCTGGCGCTTCTTCCGGGTCTCCCTCATGGGTGCATGGGCCCAAGGACTTGGGCCATCTTCTACTGTCTTCCCAGGTCATATCAGAGAGATGATCAGAAGTAGAGAAACTGGGACTTGAATATCACGCCCATGTGGGATGCAGGCACTGCCGGCAGCAGCTTTACTCACTATGCCAAAGTGCTGGACCTAAAGGATGCTTTCTCTGACATACCGTTATTCCCAGAATCCCGGTTTCCACTTACATTTGAGTGGACTGATTCATCTCCCAATGTAACTGAGTAGTATACTTGGGATAGTCCTTTCTCAAGGCTTTAGAGATAGTCCTCACTTGTTTGGTAATGCTCTTGCAAAGGAACACAGGGAACTCCAACTGACGACCGAAGCCATTCTCCAAAACGCAGATGACATTCGCACTTGCAGGTCCACCCACGAGGACTCAGATAAAAGTAAAACCTAGATCTTAAACTCCTTAGGGAGACAATGACACGTTTCCCCAACCAAAGCTCAGATTTCCAAACAAGAATTAAACTGCTTAGGACATATTATGAGCCCAGGAAGACGTGCTCTTTCACTGAAGGTTCAGGAAGGTACTGTGCATGGAGCCACCAAAGATAAACAGCTAAGGACGTTCCAGGGAATGGGGGTGGGGGGTGGATTTTGTAGGATATGGATTCTAGGATTTGGTTGACAGCCAAATCTATCTAGGAGACTATTTAAATGGTCCTGACACAGACACTCTTCACTGGGCAGAGGAGCAACCAGTGGGTTTTCCGGAAGGGATTCAAGAACTTGTAGGCACTAGGAATAAATATCTCGGACAAGTGGGTCTCTCTCTTTGCGCAGAGAAACGGGGAATAGCGTTGGGTGCACTCACTCGGAGGCTGAGTCCACTTTTGTGGCCAGTGACCTACTTTTCTAAGTAACCAGATCGGGTGTCGTCAGTATGGCCTGCATGCCTAAGGGCAGTCACTGCCACAGCACTTCTAGCTAATTAAGGTCTTTATGAACTCTGGCAAAGCTCTGATCTCCCTACTCAAATAATGAAAAATCCTGATAGATGCACACAGCTTGGAATACCCCGTATCTTAACTGCCTATTGCCTGTGGCAACCTAACCCAGACTTCAGGCCAGATTTTACACCAAATCCTCAAGTCTCAGAATGCCCTTCCTAAGGTAGTCATGAACCACTGACTAGCACAAGAATACATACTGGTACAACAAAGTGGAGCACGTGCAGTGATTAATGGGCTGTGTCACATTTACGCCAACAGAAACCTCAGAATCACGGTCTGATCTATTGTCCATTGACCTGCTCAGGATGAGAACAGCACCTAAGGCTGCCCTTAAACTGAGCACGTTTGAAACGCTACATTGAAGACCCTTTTCAATTCTGAGGTTCTCTTTGATCCCAGTACTCAGAAAAAGCATGTTGCCAAAGTAGGACAGGCACTAGAGGCTCTGAAAGAGTATGGGAACAGAAACTACCCCGGGACAAGTCCCCAAAAGTCACAAGCTGCCAAGCTCCCCAGGAGTGCTCATTCTGTTAAAAACTTGGAAGGGATGAACCACTTCTGACCAAATTACAGCCTACACGGAAGGGACCTTCCAAGGCGCTACTCAGCGCTCCCACTGCAGTTAAGATACAGGGTATTCCAAGCTGGGTACATCTGTCAGGATTTAACCTTTTACTTGTTGAATCTTCGTAAGTGTACATAAGATAAGCCTTCCTACCCTTGTGGGCCAACTGAAGACCTCAACTACTCTTCAAAAAGTTAAAGCATACGTAAAATCATTTCGTTTGGTCACCTCAAGGCCAGTGCACACTGTGGGAGACACGTCTTTCCTCCATCTTCTCATTTCTTTGTTACAGGCAGGAAAACTCCCTGGTGTGCTCGTCTCACAAGAGGGATCCAGCTGTGTCTCATGAAGCTGCTTTCAAAAACTGTCTATTGCCTGTGGCGACCTAGCCCAGACTTCAGGCCAGATTTTACACCAAATACTCAAGTCTCAGAATGCTATACCTAAGGTATCGTGGACAACTGACTAGCCCTAGAATACATACTGGTACAACAAAGTGGAACGTGTGCGGTGATTAATGGACTGTGTCCACATTACTCTAAGGGCAGTCTGTTTACTGAGAGAGACAATTGAAAAACTTTACCACCAGCTTGGTTCCATACTTTGGGTAAGGAAAGCCTATTAGTCCCCACTATTTGGGAAACAATAAATGCTCCCTTTCTTAGAGGATCCCACCTATGGTCTGTCTTTCCAATTATGCTCGTGCTGAGTGACCAAAGTAATGATGACCATGCAGGGGCCACACCACTGGCACAAGCAGACAGAGATCTTCTGCCTCTTCACATAGACGCACTAGATTAGACAGGCAAGATTTCCACTCCCAGGATACGAAAGGTCCATGACCCCGACCAGTACAAAGTAACTCTAGAAGAGGGATCATCAGTTCTTCAGCATCCCCTCAAGATCAAGGGACAGAATTCTCCAAGGGAGGGAGGAGATGGCATGATGTAACTATGCAGTTATTCGAACGTTTAGGCGAGCTGTAACTCTTGTACCCTTGCAAAGCAGTGTCTGTCTCTTGAACTGGCAGCTTGATACGCTCACCCTCCCAGGGCGCACCTGTGGCATCCTCCACCGGGGTTCACGCTAAGACTCCACCTCATCTGTGTACCTGATGGGGGGTACCACACTGCACCTCAGAAACAAGTGGCAGAGGGGGAGAGGCAGCATGGGGGCGGTGGGGGGGGGCAGGAGGCAGAAGGAGGAGGAGAGAGGCCAAAGGGGGGCGGAACAAGGAGGGGGGCTGGTGAGGGGAGGCATGGGGAGGCAGTGGGAGGTGGGTGCGGGGGTAGTCGTGGGAGAGCGGGTAAGCCGTGTTGAAAAGGGGAAGGGGGCAGGCGGGTGCTGGAAGGGGTGGCTGGGGCTGGATGGAGGAAAGCCCGTGGCTGAGCAACTATGCTCAGAGGTGTGGCTCTTGTTTCCTCCCCCTTAGTTCCGCAGACCATGGTTAGGAGGTGGGGGGAGCAAGGTGGAGCAAGCAGGGAGTGGGCCACGGGAGGAAGTCCGAGGTGCAGGAGCAGGCAAGGGGAGGTGCGGGAGGCAGGGTAGGAAGGAGAAGGGTGGCGGGTGAGGGGAGTCCTGGGTGCAGGCAGTCCTGCGGGGAGGGCGGGTGGAAAGGCTGGTGGGAGGAAAGATGGAGGGACGGCCAGAAGGACTTGGCAGGAGGACAGACGGGGCAGGCTGAGGGTGGAAAGTGCTGATTGGAAGAATTGGGGTGGGGGGGCAGAATGGAGGGCCGGAGGAAAGATGCGAGTTGGGAAGTGCCGGCGGAGGGACTGAGGACAGATGAGAGGCGTGGGGGGTATGGGAATGGGCTGTGGCGGTAGGAGGGGAGGCTCGCTTTCCTACAGCTGAACACGCTCAGTTGCCGCTCTTGTTTTTCTTCGCCTTTCACCACGGGCCACCCAACAAAGTACACTTTCTCCACGTTCTAGGGCAATACTTTGGCCCGTCATGACGGGTTTTTCTGTGAGGGTGATGCCACATCACAAGACGATGGGTATTTATCCTCGACCGCTAAATAAATAGCCATTCGTATCTGCGCACGTTACCACTCTCTGGTTAGTAATTTGCGCACGTCTCTAGGCTCCCCTAAGTATTTTTAGCTTGGCAGAGACATGACCCCCAGGAACCCCGTTCAGAGATGAATATAATCGTTGCCCACCTCAGAAAGGATTGAGTAGGAACAGGAATGGCCGCTGTCCGTGGCGCTGGGTTAGGCACGGTGTCCGCGGCAGGCCACGAGGCCGGCTTGCCGACGCCATCGTCCGGAACAGGAGTGCCGGAAACGACGGCAGCGTCAGAACGCCAAGCGTCACCCCCTCGTGCAGATGGGGTTTCCGCGAGGCAGAAGGGGGCGTGGCTCCGCAGGGACGGGCCTTGCGCAGGCGTTGGGCTGACCAATCAGCACGCAGCCCGCCCAGACCAACCCTGTGTGAGAGGAACTCATTGCGGAGGGGGTCGCCGTTGATCTTGCGTCTTCAGTGCCTGTGAGACCCCTGGGGAGGCGGCAGCAGCAAGTGACTGGGGTGGGCGGTGCTCTGCGGCCATTTGGGGACCTGGATTGGCTTCCCGGGTGGGCCGGACCGGCAGATGTCTGGGGGTACATCCTCCCATTGGCGTTGTGTTTTGTCGGGGCCTGAGGGAGACCCCTGAGGGAGGGGCGAGCAGTGACTTGAAAGGCCGAGTTCGGGGTTGGGGTTGGGGTTGGGGTTTGGGGCTGGGGCTGGGGCCCAGGCTTGCGCCAGGCGCTTCCAGGCAAGGGTTGGACCACTCCTGAGGTCCTTGGAGGGTGGTGTCGGAGGCGTTGGGCGGGGGGGGGAGCTGTGGGTCTGTGGACCCGGGGTGAGGCAGGGATGTCTGTGCGTGTCCCTACTGCTCTGCCAACGGTCAGGGCCCTGCCATTCGGGTCACCAGAAGGCCTCCTGTGGGTGGGGCTGCCTATGGCGCGTCAGCAGGCCCCAGTGCTGGGAGCCGGGATCTTTCCATGGGAAGAGGGCTGCACAGGGGACTGCGGGTAGGTGTGAAGCGTGGGAGTGGCGGTCCCTGCCCAGTCCTGCCCAACCCTGCCCTGTGCCTCCCTCCCTGCCCGCAGCAGGAGGCTGGAGGTTCGCCAGGCGGTGGTGCCGTTGGCCTCCATGACGCGGCATCCGTGCACGCCCCCAACTCCTGTCCCCTGCCCCCATGCCTTTAGCCCGGGAGCCTTCACTCGCACGTGGAAGCATGCAGCCCGCCATGGCGCCCGAGAGCAGGAAGCGCTTCCGGGAAGCTTCAGCGACCCGAAGCAAACCCTCCCATCTGGAAGCCTGGAACTTGCGGCACCAAGGTAAAGGGTGGGCGGGGCCGGGGCCCAGCTTCTCTTATGGATGTGCCCTTCCCAGGGGAGGGCGGGGCTCATCTCTGGCACGTGGCACACTGGGCGGCCCCGGTCCCCGGGTCTTGCCTTTGGCCTCCACCGCGTGGCAGACGCGCCAAGCCCGGAGTCTGAAAAATGGCTTTGCAGACTTGGCAGTTCCCTCTTGAGGCTTCCACCACATGGCAGGGTGCCAGTGGCTTCCCACGGCCGCTGTCCTGGCCCTGGCCGCTTCCTTACTTCCCACCGTGTCTGACGTGCAGCGCAGAGCTTTCTGAGCGCCAGACCCCGATGGCCTGGGACAAAGGCCAACGTAACCTGGTCTTGGGCCCTGGCCCGATTCCAGCGTCCTGCACCTGAGGAATGCCCCTGGCAGGTCTGCCTTCAGAGGGGTTGCTGGCCAAGAGGCTGAGAATCACACCCCACCCTGAGAGTGACGGTTCTCCCTGAGAAATGTTCCGCGTTGGCTACACCTTTAACCAAGTGTGTTTCTCCTCATTTCAACGCAGCCGGCAATCCAGGAATTGATCCCCACGGGAACAGCTCTGCTTCTGCTGGAGCAGCTTGCGCTGGAAGTGGAAGTGGGGTAATGTGTTTAAAGTGTGTTTTGCCCGCCACCTAAGCTACATTGAGAACAGTGACCTTTGGCCCCACTAATAACTATTCCGTAGGAAACACGTGGCATGAGAGGTCTTCCAAATCACCTGCCATTTTATCTAGCTTTGTTTTAAATCTCTGATGTGGCTTTTCCCAGGGATGACGCCCAGAAGGTGTCACGAGGACGTACAGGTATGCTTTCTCAGCTATTTGCCCTTGCAAACAACCAACCTAAACCATAAAAAGCATTATAGTAGACAGCATTGCACGCTGGACTACAGGACTGGTCTCCTCGTATGTAGGATTCTGTGTCAGTGTCGTGAGTGATTCAGCTTCACAGGTTTCCTTACTTAGCTTTTTAGATTGTTGATGCGGAAAGCAAGAACGCTGCTGACGGTCTTCTGATGATAAGAGTAAGAGTGACCCTGTTGCTTTGTCCAGGTAGAAATGTCATGCATTCAAAGACAGTGGGGGGTGGGGGGAGTGATCCCCTTTTAGCACATATACAGTATGCGCTATGTTAATTTCTCATGCCAGTTCTTCATGCTACTAATATAGTTAATGTTTTTTACAGATATCTGATGTTTTCTTTGGAGTAGCCTACAAATTGCGTCCTCTGGAACACAGTTTTACTGTCAACAAACTGAGTATTAGAGATTTCAGATAATTTTTCTAGCTATTGAGGAGGTGCAGTTGGATCCAAACAGTCATAAATTTTGTAGTGCCGTGTGAAATGTCTGTTACGCTAGCTGTCTGAGAGGACCACACTGGTAAAAACGTGTAAATTGCTGGCTCTTCGCCAAGAGCCTTTAGCGAGAGGACCCTTAGCAAAGAATCCCAACCAATTTTGGACACCTGTGTAGAGATAACTCACCTGTGCAAGTATGCTTTGAGCGCTCTGTTCTTTTGGTGTGGACAAAGCTGTTCTTCTAGGAGTCGCTCAAGAGATGGATTGGTATGGATGGGTAGAGTAAGTTTAGAATATTTTATGGCCCTGCAGATCCCTTGTGAGTAACGGAAAATAACTCAGTAGATTCCCGAGGGAAAATCCGATGCTTACTGAAGCATTACGTGTAGTTGAGAATTTTTAGAAACACAGTAATAGTGGATACCAATGTGTTCTTCAAAGCTCGGGACAGTCTCTACCCTTGAACCTATTTATTTGCTGAACGTGGAACTTGCATGCCCACAGGCCATTGCCCTCTCTCGGTCAACTTCAGCTAAAAGAATCATTTACCTGGTGGTTTCAAAGCAATCTTACTGTGTGTTGAACTATTTTTCTATCATTTTGATGGAGCTGCTAAGCATAAAATGCTTGGTGTGTGTTATCCATTTAGCGCTAACTATATTCTGCATAATGGTGTCCTTTGAACTTGAGGGTACCTCATAAGTGTAAAACAATTTGATCTTTTAACCAAGTTCTCATGAACTGAAGTCGTGTTTTGAGACTCTTTGTACGTATGTTCACAAGCGGGAACTATTTTCGTGATTAGTCCTTCTTTCTCGTCCCTAAATTAAAAGTTGATCCATCCGTAAACAACTAGAGTTGGAATACTAGCATTGCCCCGTACGTGTTCACAGAAGATGAGTAAATCTTGCTTTTCGGAACGGTGTCCGTATAGGATTTGTAGATGTCTTTCCAATACTGCTGAGCCAACGTCTCCCATGTTGATTTGGATATATGGGTACAGAGTACTTGTTCCACATTAAGTTTCAGTGAGTATTTATCTTCCATGTAGCTGACGTTCAGTTGGCCCTTCCGGCAAAGAGAAGAAGGCGCACAGTGAATGCAGATAATTCTCCCAACGCTACCAGGAGAAATTTGAGCAGATCTTGAAAGTGCAAAAAGAGCAATGGTAATGCGCTAGACTCCTTGAATCGTAACATTTCTATCATTTCTCTCTCTTTTAAGATTCATTTATTTGTTTGAAAGTCAGAGTTACGCAGGGAGAGAAGGGGAGGCAAAGAAGAGAGGGGCCTTCCATCCGCTGGTTCACTCGCCAGATGGCCACGACGGCTGGAGCTGTGCCCATCCAAAACCACGAGCCAGGAGCTTCTTTGGGGTCTCCCACGCGGGTGCAGGGGCCCAATGACTCGGGCTGTCTTCCACTGCTTTCCCAGCCCAGGCCATAGCAGAGAGCTGGATTGGAAGCAGAGCAGCCGGGACTCGAACCGGCACCCATATGGGCCGCCAGTACTGCAAGTGGCGGCTTTATCCACCACGCCACAGCGCCGGCCCCTCTATCGTTTCTGAAGCGTTTATTGGTGCAGGGAACTTTACACAATCTTCTATTCATTGGTGACTCCCGGAAAAGGCTATTTCCCCTCAGTTTTACTTTAGGTAGATAAGTTTCCTAACTTCTGTGTACATCACACACATGCACACGCATCAGAAACACACACGTGCACGCACACACGACTTAGAAGCCAACGAATATGATTTGTTTTTGTCCTTTCAGGTAAGGACGACATTTTCTTCCCATACAGTCAGGTTATATACACTTCTGGAAATGCGATAACTGACTGAAATGTAAATGTGTTAAAGCATTAGTCACTTGAGACTCAGTGATAATTCAGTTATGTAAAAACAGCTAATCATATTGTAAATGTTTTGTGTATTTTGACTACATTTTGTTAATTTTGTTTTTGTTGCTTAAATATCGCTGGTGTGCAAGTAGGAAGAAGCAGTTAGTTTGGAAATTGTCCAGGGTGAGTGGGTGTGATATCCTCATTGAATTCTACATACCATATGAGATTCTCCACGTCATATGATAGAAGGAGGAGGTGGAATGTAAACACTTTTAGATAAAATTAATATTCTGGAAAATGTACGGTGCACCCAATCCTCCTCTTGCTTCAAGAGGTAAAGTGTGTGAGACAGCTTCTGTACCAGTCAGTTAGGAACAAGCACCTCGGCAATGAGAACAAAACTTTTCTCCTTCTGTGTTCCCGTGAGAAGTTTTCAGCTACTATTTGTCCCCTTCTCCCTTTGCACTAAAAAAGCGTGTCAAATAGGTTTTGTTTGCGTATGTTGAATTTTCCATGTCATTGTGAAATCCGACTGTGCTCATCACTATGTTTTACAGGCAAAATATCCGCTACAGCTATTCTCGGCAGTTCCTGACTTTCTTTGAAGAGTGGGACACGGGTGTGCGGAAAACCGCGAAACAGCAGGAAAGACTAACTGTTGGTATCAGGCTAGGCCTCTTAACTGATTACTCGGTTGTAGCCAAAGTCTCCAGTAGCAACAGTTCATGCAGAAATTGCAGAGAGAAATGAGAGCTCATGAGCCCAGATGGACAAAGGAGGGTGGAAGGGGCGATGATGGGAGACTGCACGACCCTTTGGGCTGTGGTGAGCTTGTTAGGTCATCAGTCAGGCGTGAGCGTGGGTGGGGGGAGCAGTCACTGCCTTTTGGGGGTAGGGGGAGAAGGCAAGGAATACTTCCTGGATGCGGGCTGCTGAATGGACTAGTGGAATACAGTTACCGAGAAGCATTGCAAGTCCAAGTTAGGTTAGTGTCATGGTGATCGTGAATTTCAAGCGATACCAGCTGTGGTCACTGTAGCACAGCAGGTAGGGAGGTGGGCTTTCCAAGACTGGGGTATAGCCAAGCACAATGACAGAGGGAGAAAAGGGGCGAGGTCTGTCTTCAGGGCCAGAGATACAGTGACAGACTGTGGAATTTAAGGTGGGGTTGAGGAAATCGGTGCCACAGGGATGGGCTACTGGACAGCAGAAGTTGTTCCTTTTGATGATGTGAGGCCCAAGAGATTTCCCAGCTGTGGTACAACGTGAGTGACTCACAAAGTTTGGGCGATCGTGGCTACATGTTGGGGAAAAATGGAGAAACACTAAGGTACAGTGGTTCCAGGGTGTCTGGTGGCTCCAACTCTGGTCCGACCAGTGGCTACCTGTGAAGCCACGAGAAAAGTGTTTCTCTGCCTCGATTTCCTTCTTTGGTGAATGGAGGCCTAAGGTGAGGACTTAACTCTCAGACACGCATTGAGATTAAATGAGGGATTTAGGGGATGATGTCATTGGATGGCTCAGAAAGGCACCTGACGTGTAGAGTTCTAACCTAATTCCACTATTATTTATATTGTGTACGCAGTAAGCTTACCAGGAATAACAAAATCTAGGGGCCGACTGCACAAGTGTGCAGCAGGTGGGGGAGAGGACAAAAGCACTGCTGGAGTGCAGGTCAGGGAACAGGACGGCCAGCATTATGTGCATGTCAGAATGAACAGGAGTGTATACACGCTTTCCATATTGGTAAGAAACACTGTTTCTCACGTGATATCTGTTAGGTAGGTAGGATTACTGTACGGATTTTACCAGTGCATGGCAGACTGATTATTGAGAAGAGTCTCTGTGGACTTTGAAATCAAGAACTAAGGCGTATGTTAAAAGGAAATTGCTTCCCACTCAATGACTGAAAGAAAGAATTAGTGTGTGTTCTTGGTGTAGAAATGTTGAACACACGCAATTAAATTTGTTCACAAAAGCTGTTAAAGCAGAACTCGTTAGCAAGTATTGATTTAAAGACAGGTCTTTAAAACTTAGCGTCGGTTGGTATATGTTTTCTACATGTCAAGATTTATCTGACTTTTATCCCTTCTTAAAAATATTGTAGAGGATGCTTCACGACCACCGAAGGCTTTTCCTGCAAGCTAAAAATGTTCAAATGGAGACGCTGACTACAGTTAAGAACCTGTATGAGGAATTCTTAAAGGTCAGTTGTGTTTGGTAATACAATGCATTCTTGAGAAATACCATGTGCATGTAGTGGTAGAAGACAGTGTGGTTCTTTCCACACTTACGGAAAAATAGCTTTTCATTATATATATTTGTGACTCTTATTCTTTTTGCATCTTTCAATTGATTCTTCCATCTTTAAGGCAGCCAGTGAATGTACTTTCCATTTTAGAATTCCATACTGGTCTTTATTTCGGCGGGGAGGGGGGGAGAGTAGGGAAGCAGGTAGGATTGGAGGGCTGTATTTAAATCAGGAATAGTTAAATTGTAAATTTGCCAAGGAAGATGCATCTTGTGCTCATAGAGTATTGATTGCTTGTTAACATGTTCAATTCTCATGCTTTCATGCAGAACAACTGATTTTTAGATGATCAGCAGTAAACGCAGTGGAAAGTAGGATGGAAGTCAATCCTTTCCAGATGTCTTTTTTCTGGATATTCTACAGACTTTGTTTTGGTTGTTATCGAGCAAGTAGCAAGTGTAAGCATTGAGTACCCATTATTTGTACCATGTCCTGTGAGGTTCATCTTGTCATACTTATGGCACAGTCACTTTTAGTTCTTTCTTCATAATAATGGTAAGAGATGGCCCAGACACTGACCTTTGTTTCCCGCAGGTATGCATGGTTCAGGAACCAATGCAGTCTTGTTTCCAGGATGTCCTTTTAAGAGTCTTGTGATGCTGCTTATTAAAACGTCGCTCATCTAGACAGGTTGAGATGGTTTTTTTGCAAACTGCTCAAGGGAGCTTTGAACTATAAATCTTTGACCGGCCTTAGAATTCTCTGTCTACAAAGTGGTCATTTAAGAGGAGCTAGCAAGTGGAGAGACATGGAACTCCCATGTTCCCCAGCTGTCCATCTGGGAATCGGGGTGAAGACTCGCATAGAAAGATACCTTCTAAATGTCAGCGCTGGGTATTACCAAAGTTAGGGTAGAAAGTTTGGCACTAGGTTTTGGCGTCTTCCAAATCCCGCATCCTTCCCGGCCGGTGTCCCCTGCAGTTTTTACCCACCTCGGTGGTGGCACTTTCATTGCTTTCTTTAATCTCCCTTGCTTGTATCCTCACCTGAGTTCTGAATCTGCCATCCTCCCTTCAGAGGTCTTACAGTACCACCTTCCAAAGACACAGGCCCACTCTCTCATTCAGCCCTCCCTGTAGCTTCCCCCTTGTAAACGAGTGGTGGTTCAAGGACGCCCCCACCCCTGAACAAGCTGACCCACCCTCTGAGAGCTTCCTTTGCTGCATTCCTTCTTGACTCTCACCCCTGTAGGTTGATGGCTTTCCCTGAAGGAAGTCAGCATTGCTTCCAGGCTTTGCCTAGGTTCTTTCCGGAGAGGACGTGTACCTCCTTTTTCCTTGCCTATTGAAACCTTGCTCTTTGGCCAACTGAATCACTGGCGGTCTTCAGCTGTGTGGCCGCAGCATGTTGCCCTTCCCCTCCTTTCGATAATCGTGCTGTTTCGGCGTGGATGCTTGCTCCTGTCACGGGATATGGAGGAGACGGTGTATTCATTGATCGTATCACACCATAGCACTCGACATGGTACATTTTCTTAGTATGTGCTGCTTCACTGTTTGTTGAATGAAGAAAGATTCAGAACATACTCTACGATACATTTTCCTGAACGCGAAGCTGACATTTAACAAACCGTTTATAGTTTCCTCTGAGCAACTCATGTTATGTGGAGCACTAGTGGTAGTGGGTGGGTCATTAGCTGTGAAAAATTATGGCATAACCTGACATGGGACTGCCAGTCTTTCTCTGTCTCTGCTCCATCTTCCCCTTAACTCTTCAGCTGCCCATTTTCCCCAACTCATTGTACAACTCTTGTACCTCCTGTGGCAGCATCGCCCTCAAATCTGACTTCTGAGAAATTTCCAAGCGGGTGCTTTTGTTGCCTATATTCATCACAATTCTTTATTTGAAATAAAAAGTGAGCTCATTTGAATATTTGAGTGTTACTCCTGAAATTTCAGTTTGCCCTTTTAGAACATGAGCCACGTGTGGTGGTTTCTGACTGAACCCGAGTTTCTGTTTTAGGGTATCAACGACTTGGAGCTGAGCCAGCAAAGCCTGCTTACTGATGAGCAAAAGAAGCTCAAAAACGAAATTGACATCTTGAAGAACAAAATTATTGCTGCAACTGTAAGCAGTCTGTGTTTAATACTGAAATCTAAGGATTGATTGATGCGAGCCGAGGGATATTTCACTTGCAGAAATGTGTGTAATGATTATCGGCATTTCCTTGTTTTGAAGGAGCAACAGCAAGAGTTGGCGAGTATTCAACAATCTCTGCAAGCCATGCTGCTTCTATGAATCTGAAGAAGGAACTTCCACTCAAGTTCTGTCTGAAAGTCCAACGTTAGCTACACTAATTCAAGTTCTCGCAGATATAAGCACATCTTCTTTGTCACTAGTTCGTTTGTGAAATGCAAGACCATGTTTCTCTTGCCCCCCTGAACCCTAAACAGTAATGTGATCAGCAGCAGTGGAGGGGTTACGTGTATAACACTCTGGCTCTTTGGTAGTGATGGTGAAGTTTCCTCCCTCCTCCGGTCAATGTACGTGTAGCAGTAGGGATGACAGGGTTTTCGGTTTGGCCTCAGCGGATCTGTGTCGGTCTCAGAAGGCAGAGCTCCCTCTAGAGGGTACATCGTCCTTCCTTGAAGGAGTAAAGAAGACAAACTGTAACCTGTGCACTGTCTTGTATTTCCTCCCTATGGTATGGAGCCAATTCATAAGCAAATGCTGTTTCCAAAAAGACCCTACTCTAAGGCCTTACAAGCATAGTTAAAAGCAACTCACCTCTGGGTGTTTGAAAAAAGCTAAGCTGGGACACATAATTAAGATACCTGGCGAGATATCTGTGCTAAGCTGTGGATTTCTGATTTTGTCATTTTCCACACAGACATCAAGGTGTCATTCAAGGAAGTTCTGGTCCACCAGTAAATAACACCTGGCCTTAGTGTTGATTGCCAGTATTTGGTTAACAAACTTAACAAACAAAATTGATTTGTTCGTGATGACGATAATTATTACTTTATGATAATTTAATTAGAATAAGTTGTTATGTAATGATTTAAGTTTCTCAATGCTTGTCTTCAGACAAAAGTAACCAGAGTGCTTTGCTTTTCCACTTTGATATTAGGTGAGAATGCGGAATTCAAATGCACATTCCTCTGAGAAATGATTAATTCTGATAGGTTTCCCTTTGTAATTAGAATACGTTGTTATGTAATGGTCTGATGATCTCACTTGTCTTCAGACATAAAATAACTAGAGTGCTTTGCTTTTCAGCTTTAATCAGTGAGAATGTGGAATTTTAGATGCACATTCCTCTGAAGAATGATTAATTCTGATAGGTTTCCTCTTGTAATGTATACATTTTACATTTAATGACACCTCAAATTGTTCTGTGGATACATTTCATGCAATAAATATGCAATTATTTAAAGTGTATTTGGGAAAAGTCAGTGAAATGAATTCTTTGTGCTGATGAAATTGTCTTAAAAATCATTCAAAAATACCGCGTTTGTTAGGAGAGGGGTGACTTTCTGTGGACTTTCCATTTTATTTACTTTTTGAAGATGTATTTATTTGAAAGTCAGCCTTATAGCGAATGATGGAAAGACAGACAGACAGACAGACAGAGAGAGAAGGGAGAGAGAGGGAGAGAGAGAGCTTCAATCCGCTGGTTCATTCCCCAGGTGGATGCACATTTCAGTACAAAAGTCTAAGAACTACATCTGATTATTAAGATCCTCACTTGAAAGAATTCTGACCGTACTGCAAGGGTAGAGTAAGTTCTCTAAGTGTCGTTGCTGAGAGTTCTGGTTTTCACTCTTAGCTATCTAAGTGACTTTATAACAGAGAATGAAAAGACGGGAGTTAGGATAGCATGGACTTAGTGACGTGATGGTTAATGTTTTGCTCGTCCCCTTCCTTCCTGGAATGAGTCAGCTGTCCTTCCTGGAATGAGTCAGCTGCCCAATTGAGTAGCTCCCTCGTTTTCTGAAGGGAAGGATTTTTTTTTTTTTTTTGCCATTAAAGAAACTGTTAGGTGAGGGTACGTCTGTGTGTATATGACTTTTTTCTTTAAGCTTATTTATCTGAAAGTGTTACAGAGAGAGGGGGAGGGACAGACAGTTCTTCCATCCACTGGTTCACTCCGCAAATGGCTGCAATGGCTGGGGCAGGGCCAGGCTGGAGCCAGGTGTCCCATCTGAGTCTCCCATGCGACCTGGTGCTGCAGGGGCCTGAGCACGTGGGCCATCTGCTGTTTTCCCAGGCAGGTGAGCAGGGAGCTGGATCAGAAGTGGGACTCAGACCGGCATCCATATGGGACGTTGGCACTGTACGCAAGCAGCTGAACTCACTGCACCACCGCACCAGCCCCCTATGACTTACTTTTGTAGTACAATTTTAGGTTCACACCAGAAAGATCAGAAGGTGCATAGATTCACCGTATAACCCTTGTCCCCACTAGCAAGCACAGAATTCTGCACTATCGACTTTCCACCCTAGAATGGAACATTTGTCCCAGTCCCTGTACTTAAAATGGAAACATCATTGCCACCCAGAGTTCACAGTCACATTGGGGTTAAGGCCAACGGCTATGGTCTCCAGCAGTTGCTCAGTGTATGGGGCAGTTGTGTTGGCATTCACCGCCTGCCGTTGGGCAGCTTGTAAAACCTTCTCCCAGATGCACGGATCATGGCTACTGCCTCAAGCCACGGGCACACGCCCGCAGCAGTTTCCCAAAATCTTCCAGTTAACTCCCGTTTTAATGTTTGGCCACGAGTTTCCAACAAAGCCTGCAAGAGCTTAGGCCTGGGGTCCTGACTTGGGGTCTGGCCCATAGTGAGGAGTGAAAGTAAGTAACCAATCAGGAAAGGGAAGGGAAAAGGTAGGAGGATAGAATCACAGGCAGACCAGTTCATGGGGTGGCCATGAATTCTTTGTGCTGATGAAATTGTCTTAAAAATCATTCAAAAATACCACGTTTGTTAGGAGAGGGGTGCCTTTCTGTGGACTTTCCATTTTATTTGCTTTTTGAAGAGTTATTTATTTGAAAGTCAGCCTTATAGCGAATGATGGAAAGAGAGACAGACGGTGGGCGGGGGGCGGCAAAGGAAAATCCAAATGAAGAGCCGGTGACTGCTCTGGGGGTCCCTAGAATGGGACAGAGAAGCCCTCTCATCTAGCAGAGAGATTGGAGCCCAACTACCTGTGCCATCCTCCATTGCTTTCCCAGCCCACAGCGGAGAGCTGGATTAGAAGTGGAGCAGCCAGGACAAGAACTTGTACCCATATGTGATGTGGTACTGCCGGCTGAGGAATATCCTACTACACCACAGTGCTGGCGCCTGTCAGTACTCCTTTTTTGAAGTGTTTACAAAATGTCTAATATTTATTTGCATGTAGTGTTTGTGTTTATGCATGTTTAAATATTTGCCTTCTTGTTGTACTGAAAAATAAATAATAAATATTAAGTAAATGATACATAATGTTTCAGATTTTCAAAAGGAAAAATATAAAGAATGACAAATGGAAATAAGCATGTAGTGGTATAAATGGTACTGCTACATTTCTTTTTTTTATAGAAAACTTTTATTTAACAAATATAAATTTCATAAGTACAGCTTTTGGATTACAGCGGTTCTTCCCCCCCATATCTGCCATCCCACCCCCAAACCATCCCTACTCCTACTCCCTCTCCCATCTCATTCTTCATTAAGATCATTTTTGATTATATACAGATCAACTCTATACTAAGATTTCAGCAGTTTGCACCCACACAGGCACACAAAGTATAGAGTACCGTTTGAATACTACTTTTACCGTTAATTCTCATAGTGCAACACATTAAGCACAAAGGTCATACATGGGGAGCAAGTGCACAGTGATCCTGTTGTTGATCTAACAATTGACACTCCTATTTACGACATCAGAGCACACCATTTAATGGGCAGGCAGGGTCACATAGCTGATTCAGGGCAACACTCATTCTACAGGATAAAGCTGATATTGGCACCGCTATGCTTTCTCCAATCAGCTTGAAGGAGCTCGGCCTCCTCACAGTCCTCCGGGAAGCCCTGGATGAGCAGGCCTCTGGCGAGCGCGGACGCCCAGCCACCTGCACCAGTCCTGCAGCATCGCCATCACCATCGCCTGCATTGCAGCCGGCCCAGGCTGATACCGGGAGCAGCGAAGGGCGCCAAGCGCAGACCAGGGTGGCACCGCGGCTGGGGGTGGGGAGAACTGGGGCAGGAGCCGAGGGCTGGGGGAGAACGGCCAGGATCTCCGCCGCCTGTGAAGGCGAAAGGGGCGACAGCGCGGTTTAAGACCCACCCCGCTGCGACCCTCCCGCCTGTAGGCGCCTCTCCAGCCAGGCCCGACCCCGACCCCGACCCCGACCCCGACCCCGACCCCCGCCGCGGTCCCCGCCTCGCCCCCCTCTCGCCCTCGCGGGCCGCAACCCCGGCCCCGCACCCCCGCCCGGAGCCCTGCCCCAGGGCGGTCCCAGGGCCACGGGGTCTCCCCGGACGGACCACGCCTCCCCCACCCTCTGGGCCTCGGGCACCTTCTCCTGGGCGAGGTCCTTCCGGGTCCGGGTCCCAGCTGGGGGCCGGGGGCTGCGCGGTGGTGGCAGAAGGCCCTGGCTCCCTTGCTGGCTTGCGCTGCCTCTGGCTCCCTGTCTGTCGGCGCAGCACGTGGGCCAGTGCGCGGGCGCCCTCTGGCCTGGGCTCTCTGCAGCGTGGACGCGGGGCGGGGCCGCGCTGGCGGCAGAGCGCGGACCCTCCGTGTCGCCCCGGAGGAGGCGGCCGGGCCATTGGCGCAAGCAGCTCATGCTGCCGGGCCGTCCTCGCGGCCGCGGCCGCTCGGGGACCGACACCGACCTTGATGTCGCTTGATGTCACCTGCTCTTCTCTCCCCACTGCCCTCCGCCCCGACGGGTGGGGCCCTGGGGCACGAGGGGTCCGAGCTTTGGTGGCCAGGAGTCCGCACACCTTGGGCTCCCCCCTGCGCTCCCCTGGCTCGCACCCAGCCCTGTGCCCCACCACTGCGAGATGCGCCTGCCCTTGGGGCACAGGCGAGCAAGGGTCAGCAGCTGTGGGTGCCCGTCAGGCTGTGTTCGGCAGGCGGCAGGGGGCGGCTGGGCACGGGCGCGGGCGCGGGAGGGGGACGCGCTCTGGGGCTTGGCCTGCTCTGCCCTTCCCCCGCCCCACCCCGGAGGACTAATTCAGAGGCCAAGCCAGGAGAAGAGCACCTCAAGTGGGTGTGTGTCTTTGGCGTCGGTGCCACGTGCGCTAGGGTGCGCTTACGCCACGCTGCCGGTGCCACGTCGCGCCACAGTGGGACTGCGACGTCGGCGCTGCGAGTCTCCTTGGACGGGCCACAAGCCTTGGCCGCCTGCTATGCACCTGTTTCCCATGTCTGGCACTGTGCAGCTGCTGTGCCCCGAGCCCAGGAGGGTCACCAGCGCCTGGCCTTTCCCGCTTTGCCTAATGTGAAAATGGCAAATGACCCACCCGCTAGGGTCAGTATATCACTGCGGGGTCTGGTGCCAGGTGGAGCCTTATGCCTGCGTCCTACCCTGGCCGCCTCCTCTCAGGGACAGCGCTAGGCGGGGAGTCTCTGTGGCGTCTATCTCAGTGTGCGTGCTGAGGGGCAGTGTGCCGGGAGTGGTGTGCTCAGGGTGCCCCCTGTGCCCTGTGCCTTTGCCAACTTGATGGGCTATGGGGCATTGCTCTGCTGGCCGGGAGGCAGCGAGGGTTTCCACACAGATATGTTAAGTTCCTTGCACGCAGTTCCTCAGTCTGGGACCTTATTTGTAGTTCAGTATTTAGCATTGCTAAATGTAAAGGAAGCCCTAATACAATCGAATGACTTTCTTATGCCAAGGGAATGTCAGACACCGAGACTCACAGGTCCACAGGGAGAATGCTGCGTAAACATGGGTACCCCGCCATATGCTCAGGGGGTATCAGTGGCCCCCAGTAATTCGGATAAAAGCAGGGGAAAAGATTCTGCTTCAGAGCCTGCAGGAGGCAAAACTGCAGACACTTTTTTCTTGGCAATTTTGGAGTTCACGTTAAGCTTTGATGGTCGTCGATATATGAGTCAGTCTTAAGAAAAAAATAAACTTAAACATACGCCCACCTTTTGGTTCAGCCTTCGCAGTGCTATTTATTTATAGGAGAATGAAAAACAAATACATGCAAAAAGAATTCCATAGGATGCTTCCAATAGCTTTATTCATAATTACATTCCTACTCTGAAATCACTCCAAATACCTCTCAGCCAGGTGCTTAAAACAGAAAAGTGTCCTCACAAAAATTCCAATGATATTTTCACAGAAATAGAAAAATAATTCTAAAATTATTATGGCACCACAAAAGACCACAAATAGCCAAAACACTCTCGATAGAGAAAAAACAAAACTGGAGGCATCATAGTTCCTAATTTTAAATTATATTACAAAGATGTAGTGATC